TGAGTACAATTATCACGGCTCCCATAAAAGATATAAAAATGTGTCAGCTGATAAATTGTTTATCATAATATCACCAATGTTTTATCAGTGAAACACTTTCTGATATCTTTCACAGGAACCGAGATAAATTGGCTCAAAGTTAAAAGTTAGGGCTGACTTCCATTAGGGGGGAATACGGTAATACACTTTTGGCCGGTACAGTAATCCTTGTTGGGGGATCCATAGGGTTAAACAAAAATTTTGATCATCTTTTTTGGCAAACTTTGAATAGTTTTTGATACTTTTCATTTTCTATGACTTCATTCATATTCACCAATTTTTTTTGAATATGCTCCTGATTTTGAGTGCGCACTTTTTCGAAAAATAGGGTTGATAACAAACAGAGGATCATGCAAATTTTGATTTGTTATTCGAAAATGGAAAATTTCCTTCTTACTACAAACCCCGATAAAAAACGACAATGAGTAGATTTCGGGAGGTTGTAGAAATCAAAACTTGAAGCTTTCCAGGTGAAATTCAGTTTGATTCACCTGGAAGAAGCGTTATTTTAAGCTGGGTGGGTAGACATGTACTCGATCTTGCTTGGAAATGTATTTTATAGGAATCTAGAGAACAAAAACTGAGTATAAGGTAATGAAACATATAATGGAACATACCTTAATCAATCTAATGGAACGCAATCCCCCTATTATGTAGGTTGGCAAGAAAATAATGAGTGGCGAGTTCGTCAAAACGTATTTCTCTTTCCAGTGAACATTTTTTGATACACTTTTTTTTATTCAAAAGAACGTTTTACTGCGCATCGTTTCATATATAATTTCAATAGTTTAGTCTGTTTTTTGAAGAGGAAATTCAGTTTTGAAAATGTCCTTCAAAAAATGCGCTTGAGGGTGTGCCTGTGATGTGAATTCAAGTTGATCAAAAATTCAACAGAAGCTCTTCGTTCTTTCTCAAAAGTATTCAAAGATGATCTTCTGTCGGAGAATCTACACCGACGCTGGTTTGAACGTTTTCATAATGTCGATGAAAGCTTGGAAGAACGTGAACACATCGGTCGACCAAAAATCAGTGACAGTGAACTACTGAGAGACTAAAACGAGTTGAATCTTTGTCAAACGACTCGAAGTCCTGTAGAACAGTTTCCTTGAACCAATGGTGCCATTGAAAACCATTTGCACAAACTGGGAAGTCGAATAGGTGCGGAAAGTTTTTCCACAAGAACCCTCTCGTCGCACTTGTCGGAATTCTCCTTCTTCGCTCGAAGAATATAATTTTTTTGATTCCCTTGTTACGTCGGATGATAAATTGATTCAATACAATAATATACTTGAAATAGAAAATGGTTACCCCCCGGAGAACCGGCCAAAACAACTCGAAGCCAGAGACACACGGGCATGAGGTGATGCTTTGTGAATAGTGGAATAGCAAGGGTCTTGTATATTTTGATGTTCTGGAAAAAGGTCTAACGGCCACTACTGAACTTTACCAACGATAATTGGGCAAAATGCAGCATACGTTAAGACGTCAAGGTCTGACTACACCACCGACGAAATTCCTTTATGATAATGCTCGTCGGCATGCGTCAACAGTCTCTCAGCAGAGAATCGAGGAATAGGGCTGGGAAGCTCTCCCTTATCCGCCAAATAGCCCTGATTGGGCACCTTCCGATTTACACTTACTGAGATCGATGAGACCGTCATTAGCCGAGAACCACTTCGAAATCCGCGTTGAGACCAAAAAATGGGTAGTCGCCTATTTTGAGTCCTAGCCAGTGGGGTTCTTTCACAGCGGAATTCATTCTTTGCCCGGACGTTGCCGATAAGTAGTTGCTAATTATGGCAAATAGCTTTTAAATTAATCTTGTCTACTTTCTTTTTTATAATAATTTTAATTGATCATAAAAACAACCATTATTTTCTTGCCAACCTAATAACTTTCACCTTTGAGCCAATTTATCTTGGTTCCTAAGACAGATACCGAAAATCTGCTAACTAATAAAATATTTATCATGATATCATCAATATTTTATCAGTTGACCAATTTTTGATACCTCTCGTACCATCAGAGATAATGAGGCTCAAAGTGTGTGGATAAAGCGACCGTATATGCTCTAATAGGCACCGATCCCATAAAATCACTTTGAGCTCATTTATCTCGATTCCTGAATAAGATATCAAAAAATGGTCTGCTGATAAAATAATGGTGACAAAGTGATGAATAATTTATCAGCTGACTGATTTATGATATCTCTTATAGGAACCGAGATAATTGAGCTCAAAGTTGAAGGTTTGGATTGAGCGTCTTTTAGAGCAAATACGGTAAGAACATGAAACAGATCATGATCATGGGGCACACCTGTAACAAAAATTGAAAAGTGTTGAAGAAGGTTTTTGAAAATCTTACAACAAAAGGAACCTAATTTTTTAAACCTAAACATAAAAAGTTCAATTTTATCAGTCAAAAATGAGACCTGATCAAACGAGATAACTCATCAAATCTAGAAACTTCAAAAAGTTCAAAAAGTTAATCCTTATGGCTTTCTATGATTTTTGACCATTTTCCAACCCATTGGAGCCTTGCGGCTCTTTTTTCACACGGCTACAATTCATAAGAAATTCTCTTCGGGATATTTTAGTCTAATGAAAAGGGGTCAGACTAGATATGATCTTACATTTTAAAATATTCAAAACTCTCTCTATGAATGTACGTAACTACTTTATATTCAGTGTTTTTTTGTTGTTCCTCCTCCATCAAAAACAAAACAAGAGCGAAATTTTTGTTTTTAGACCAATATTCGTTGGTTGAAGTTTTAATCATCGTGGTAAAAAAGTTTTGGGGATTGAAATTTTTTTCTTGGCTATTTTAAGACATAGAAGACTTGGGAGAAATATTCGCAGGTGATTTTTTGTTTTGTTGTGTAGCTGAAAAAAAATCTGAAAAAATTGATTTCAGGATGTTGTATTCTGGGAATTGAAGAGGGTTTAAATTGGAAACATTTTCAGAATGATGTCAAGGAGGAAGTGTTGGTTTATGAAACTTTTTTCAGGAAGAAAAACAATTCTTAAATCGCAGATGGATTGAAAAAAAATATAATAAAAGGGGCCGAATAACCGTGATCCGAATTTCAGAACTGAAGTTTTTTCAAAATCTCAGAATCTCAGAATCTTAAAATGTCAGAATCTAAGGATCTAAAATTCAGAATTGCAGAATCTCCGAATATCAGAACTTTTAAGTGTAACTTATACAAATAAAGCTTATTTCGAAAAGAAATGGCAAGAATTTAACTTCGTTCTTTTCTTAATTTCAGTCTGAACCAGTTCCAGGAATTGATAGTTAGCTTGAACATCGCGTCATAGATACGCTTGGCTCCATCTGGCTCCAGCTCCAGCTCCAGCTCCAGCTCCAGCTCCAGCTCCAGCTCCAGCTCCTTGCTCCTGGCTCCATGCTCCTGACTCCATGCTCCTGGCTCCATGCTCCTGGCTCCATGCTCCTGGCTCCATGATCCCAGATCAGTCACTTAATTTCTTATTATTTTCAGTCTAAACCATCATTTTCAGTCTAAACCATCATCCAGGAATTGAAAAAATTATCTTGAATTTCACAGCAGATTTCCTCGGAACACCGTTTCTAGATCCTCCACCAGCGCTTCATCTTGCTTCTGATCCAGTTCCTCCTCCATTGAATGCTCCTGACTTCAGCTTCAGCTCCAGGATCCGGGCTTCAGGATCCGGGCCTTAGGATCCGGGCACCAGGAACCGGGCTCCAGAACCCGGAACCCAGTACCCGGGATCCAGGAGCCGGGCTCCTTGTCCCGGATCCCTCCACCTTCGCTGGAGCCCAGGAAAGGCGAGAACTGATTCTTCACTCCACTATCCTCTTCTTTTATAGTAATCTTCCAGAGGTCAAAAAGTGGTTAACTAATAAAATATTGGTGATATTATGATAAACAATTCATTAGTGAGCCATTTTTTGATATCTTTCATAGAAACCGAGATAAATTGACTCAAAGTTTGAAGTTTGAAAAAAATTTGGGCATTAAAAACCAAGATAACAACAAACAACTAAATCCTATATGATCATTTTCAGACTTGACGAGTAAATATCCATAGAATTTTTAAAACTTGAACGATTTTTATGGAAAATAAATAATAAGTGGATTAAAAAGAATATAAATACCCCTCAAGGAGTTGAACTTGTGGACCTAACGCTGGAGGTGTTTTGGCGCCGCTACTATCTGAGCTACGGTGGCGCAAGTTGAGGCGGCCGGGATATAGAGAAGCCAATACACCGCCACGTTAAAATCCAAAAAGAAACTCCGGAAAGAATCCGCTCCTTTAAATTTGAAAAGAAACTTTAAAGGTGGGGGGACATGAGAAAAATAATGTTGTCGAAATTTCGTTTAAATATGCTCCTCGAGGAGTTGAACTTGTCGAGGCGAGTCTTGAAGGTGCGGCGCCGCTACCGACTGAGCTACGCGTGCAAAGAGAAAGCCGCTGCCCGATTGCATACATAAAGGCGAGGGCGACAGCTGTACGCAGAGTGACATTAACCGTTGTACACCGTTACGGTAGAATGCATACTCTGGCCCCAAAAATCCCCCGTAAAATCTCCTGTCCCCCCACCTTTAAAATGAATCATCAAAAAGCACTAGATTGCAAAGACTAAGCCCTTTTCTTTCTGAGACAATTCCTGGAATCAGACTTCTCAATGGGCGGGGAACTCAACTCATTCATTCATTACGGGTTGATTGTAAAGGAAAATTAATTGAATGCTCCTCTTCTTTTTTTTGCTCTCTAATGAGCAACTGAGGGCAAGAAGATGTTGAATAGAGAAGGAGAAGAAGAAGAAGACGTCACGAGAAGACGTCTTCGGGAACTTCTAAAATTGGCCCAATGATAAAGGCAATGTGTTTTATAATATACTTTTTCAATGAAACAGATGACCGAATCTAAATAAAGCACAACACAAAAAACTGAGCAATTCATTAATTCCAAAAAAAATTAAAGTTTAGTGTCGTGAAACTTTTGAACACTGTCCAGAAGGTGTCTTTGTGCAACCCGTACACTTTGATTTTCAGTTTTGCCGCTTTCGATTTTTTCGATTGTCTCCACAATTGCAGCCATTCCCGCGTTGGAGATAATTGAAAATAGCTGGGCACCGGACATTTTTTCATCGACTTTACTCGCCTGGAAATTCGGAAATATGAAAACCTGCATTAGAAGAGCTCCCTTGATTGTCAACTTTGAGCTCAATTATCTCGGCTCCTAAACAAGATATTAAGAACCTGTCAATTGATAAAATGTTTATCATAATATGAGCAATATTTTATTAGTTGACAGACTTTTGATATCTTTTATAGGAACCGAGATAATTGAGCTCAAATGTGACTGGTCGGGTGACACTCGATTAGTTTTGATATATTTTTTTCTTTTTTCAGGAGTCTGGAGCTCGGCTGTCAAGTTTCCAATGACATTGATAACTTTGGAGAATGTAAAACATACCTAGATTGAAAACTTTGCATTTACAGAGTTTTTAGAAAATTCCTAGTTTTTTCGGATATTTGCTTATTTCTGAAATTGTTAAAATGTCCTAAATTCAACTCAAAACCTCTTTAATAATCTGAAAATCCGTTTCAAACTATGTAATTCTGTCCAAAAACCATTTTCCTAGCTCATCTAGGAATCGAGATATGGTCATTTGAAGTTCCCGAGGTTAGAGACGCAGAGTGTCTCGTCGTCTGCGTCCTAAAAGCGCTAGAAAGGTGGTTTTTAGACGGGATTGTAGGAAATTTTATCTATTTGAAATGTGAGGTTTTGCTGTTTAGAGAGGTGAGACAGCAAAATGTCTTATGTCTTTATGTCTTGCCTTCTTCAAGGTCTTCATGAATAATCAGAAAATCCATTTTTATCCGTTCAATTTTGTTTAAAAATCAACTTTCTAGCTCATCTAGAAATCGAGATACGGTCATTTGAAGTTTCAGAGGTTAGAGGCGCAACGTGTCTCGTCGTCTGCGTCTCTAGCCTCCTAGACTTGAAGCGGCTTTATCTCGAATGCTAGAAGTGCTAAAAGTGTGATTTTTAGACCAAATTGTAGGAAATTTTGTCTATTTTTTAATTAAAAATATTTTGGTTTATTTTTCTGTGAATGCAACGTTTTCAATCTGTTTTACAACTTCCTAAACTTTCAATGCGTTCGAAAACTTGACAGCCAAGCTCTAGACTCCTGAGAATGCCAAAAACCAAAATACGCTTTTGTATATTTTTTGAGGTACTTACAATTTCTTTCAAATCCACATCCTTATCAAAATTCATCTTCCTCGACACAGCCTCCAAAATCTTCCTCTTCGATTCCACATCCTCTCCTGGCTTCACTTCCACCAACTTATCAAACCTTCCAGGTGTCATTAAAGAATTATCCAAAAGGTCCGGTCGATTCGTGGCTCCCATGACAAAAACTTTTGTCAGTGGAGAGTTATGAAGCTTGTCCAGTTCAGCTAACAATTGGGACACAATCCGATCAATCACTCCTCCCGAATCCCCATTTCTTCCTCGATTTGGAGCCAAACTATCGATTTCATCGAAGAAAATCACACAGGGCGACGCTTGTTTGGCTCTTTCGAACACTTTTCGCAGATTTTCTTCACTTTGTCCTACGTATTTATTGAGAAGTTCTGGTCCTTTGACAGAGAGAAATGCGATTTTGAACTCTGTCGCCACTGCTTTCGCTATCAGGGTCTTCCCACATCCTGGCGATCCGTAGAGAATGATTCCAGATCTTTTAAGGGCTCTAGACCCAAATAAATTAGTTCGAATACTTTCTGAAACTGTTTGTTTCGTTTCCTCAAGACCTCCAACATCCTCCCATCGAACATTTGGGATCTAAAAATTGTAAATTTACCACGGACATTGAAAAGCCCCTGCGCTATCCTTTTTGATCCGCCAACTTTGAGCTTATATATCTCGGTTCCTGTAAAAGATAACGAAAAATAGTCAACTGATAAAATTTTATTGATATTATAGATAAACATTTTATTTGTTGACAAATGTTAGATATCTTTTACAAAAACCGAGATAAATTGGATCAAAGTTTAAAGACGTTCTGGTTTTACAGTAGCTGACCTCCCTCCACACAAACTATCAAATTTGAGAACACCTATCTCATTTCCTGTAAAAGGTATCAAAAACTGTCAACAGATAAATTGTTTATCATAAAATCAAAAACATTTTATCAGTTGACAACTTTTTGATAACATTCACCGGAACCGAGATAAATGGGGGGGGGGGGGGATAGTTTGGAAGCGTTCTGGTTTTGAAGTTTCAGAGTACCTGACCGTCAACTTTGAAGTCAATTATCTCATTTCCTGTGAATGATATCAAAAAACGGGCGATTCGTAAAATGTTTATCATTATATCAGTAAAATTTTGTCAGTTGATTGCTTTTTGATATCTTTTACAGGAACCGAGATAAATTGGCTCAAATTTGGAAGATACGGCTGTTCTGGTAAGTTTTCAAAAAGTAACACATACCTTTGGTGCTCCAATCGCATCCGCAAAATTTGAATTCCTATTGTCTATCAAATCCTCATAAAGTTTATCTTCACTGGTGGCCACCACTTTCTTCCCATTTTTCACTAGCTCTTGTAATTCTGCCAATGAGAAACCTGACGTCTTCTTTGCCACATGGCTTGCCAGCTTCTCCTTCAAATGGTATTGGAGCCAAAACCTTCTCTCACTCTCATCCATAAAATCCGCGGAAAATGTATAGAGGGCTAGATTTTTGACATTTGGGGACATGGAGCTGAGCATGTCGGTGGTGGAAGAGAAAACGACGGTGAGTTTGGATGGCTCCGAGAGTTTCAGTTCAATGTGTTGAAGGATTCGACGGTCTGGAAGTGAAATTGGAAATTATCCACTTTGTGCTCAATGATCTCAGTTCCTATGAGAGATATCAAAATTTTTTCAACTGATAAAGTGGTTTCCATAATATTACCAATATTTTCTCAGTTGAAAATTTGTTGATATCTTTTGAAGGTACCGAGATAATTGAGCTCAAAGTTGAAAGTTAGATAATCAGTAAACTAACCCAACGCATTGAACTGATCAATAGCCAAAACATTGGCATTTCTCACAAATAGCAAGCAGCTCTTCAACAACTTTGCCTTCTCCCACAATGACGTCCATTTGGATTCTGCAGCCGACGCATTCTCTGTGACCATCTCATAGCCATCAACTTCATAAAAGCTCCTATGAGTCCTCGCGGCTAACACCTGACTCAGAAGACGTTTCCCAGATCCAGAAGCTCCGGTGACCAAGAAAACCAACGCCTTCTTTGTTAGACGACGTTGTGCATAATAGATATGAGTCATTCTTTCGACGGTAGACTTCATAGAAGACGTCAAGGGGTTACGGAGCAAGAAGTTGGAAAATGGAAGCATATGGGAGACAGCGGAGGTTTCATAGACAGATGTGGTGGAGTCTAGAATGCATGGAGATGTGGAGATGTCGAGTTTGTAGAATAGATTGGTGGTGGTGTCAGTGTAGACGTTGTAGTCGGTGATTTGAATGACGTCATTTTTGTAGAAGATGCTGAAAGATGTTTATGTTTTAATCAACCGTATTTTCTCTAATAATAGCCTCCACATTGTCAAGTTTGAGCTCAATTATCTCGATTCCTGCGAAAGATATCAAAAATTTGTCAACTGTTGAAATGTGTGAAATTTTATGATAAACATTTTCTTAGTTGACCAATTTTAGTTATCTCTCATAGGAACCCAAAATAATTGAGCTCAAAGGGAACATTTAGAGTAAGCTCCTGTTAAAGTATTTACGGTTTATTCGTCGGTAAATGTTGATAGAAGCCGACCCTATACGTCCACTTTGAGCTTAATTATCTCGGTTCCTATGAGAGATACCAAAAATTAGTTAATTGATAAAATGTGTGAAATTTTAAGTTAATTGTTTTATCAGTTGACAAAATGTTTATATCTTTCACAAGAATCGAGATAATAGAGCTGGAAGTTTGGTGGGCTTCTTCGGTTGAAGTAGGTCTCTTGTCTTTTAAAGGACATGCGGTATTATAAATACTAACTTTGGATTTTTCAAAATCTGCTCCAGATGATTCTTGTCCAGTCGAATGTGCTTTGGAATTCCTGGTTGTCGAATCAATGATAATTTTGCATCCTCCGCCACAGGAATCGGTGGCCCACATAATTTGAAAATCGGTGTCAGATTCTGGAATTCTAAGCTCATACTCCTTTAAATTTTCACAACTTACATTTATAACAACGCTCTCTATGAATTCCTCCTCCCCAAAAATATTGAAAACATCACATCTGGATATTCGAAGACTTCCAATTTTTACAGAATCCTCAATTTTAACTTTCATAATCCTCTCAAAAGTTTCAGAATGTCCATGTTCATTTGTAGTTGTGAAGGAGGCTTTGACAAGTTGAGAATCCAGAATTCCAAGGGTCCAGCAAGTCGAGGAGTTGATAAAAATTGCGCTAAAACTCAAATGAATTTGAAGGCCGAACTAAGTTTAAAGGTGGTGTAGGGTGAAATTTTTTATTGCATCAAAATGTGCAGAAATGCATGTAGATTGACATAAAAATAAAGAAAAAATTCAAAAAAATTCCTTCATCGAGAAAAACGCATCGAAAAATACGCTGAAAGCCCTTAGGGACGAGCTTTTTTTCTAGGCCGCTCGGTGAGTAAAAGTACGCGAATTCAAACTTTTCAAATTTTTTCGCTCGTTTTCACTGTTTTTTTCAAATTTTCCGATGTATCTGGAAGAAAAATTGACAAAAACCTAGAAAACTCTTGAAAAAACCGAAAAACAGTGAAAACGAGCGAAAAAATTTTAAAAGTTTAAATTCGCGCGCTTTTACTCACCGGGCGGCCTAGAAAAAAAGCTCGTCCCTAAGGGCTTTCAGCGTATTTTTTGATGCGTTTTTCTCGATGAAGGAATTTTTTGAATTTTTTCTTTATTTTTATGTCAATCTACATGCATTGCTGCACATTTTGATGCAATAAAAAATTTCACCGTACACCACCTTTAAGACTTACTTTGTACTACGTCCCTCCTGATCAATCACAAGTTTTAAAACTAAATTTTTATCCCAAATAGATTTTCGTATCCGTCGCAGCCAATTTTTGGACGCATTTCTAGAAAGGACTATAGAAAAATAGTATTTGAAAAAGTCTTCTTTAGTGACCATTATAGATTATAGAGTTATTGGAAAAAAAAATGAATGAAGGAACACAACGAGGCTACACTTTGGCCACTGTTAGGGGGTAATAGAAGGAGTCTTATCGTGTCTGCGTCTCTGTACTCTCGTGTAGAGTGTAGTGGTTTTGATGGGTTGGTAGAGATAAAAAGATGACAAGGAATCTGGGAATATTTGATTATTATTATTATTATTATAGTTTTGGAGAAATTGAATAGCACTCGAACATTCGTGACATACATAAACCTTAACTTCAAGAGGGTTTAATTAAACAAACCTCTTAATTTATGGTTCTAGATCTTTCCAAACATCCGCAGATTTAAAAAAAATCGGAATCCTTCTATGGTATTATTCTGGTACAAAAAAAACCGTTTCCATTTTAAAATGGTGGCCTAATTTTTGCAAACTGAGTTTTATTGTCCACCATGGGAAATGTCCTAGAAAATACACCAGAATAATATCAGACCATTTTTAGGCCATTCAACAGAGTGACCTAGAACACTCAAAGTTAGGCCACTAAGGAAAATGATTTAGAAAATTCATCAGGTGAAAATCAAGCCATTTTTTGATAATTTGCGATGGTGGCCTGGAAAACTCAAATTGCAAAATTTAGTCCATCATGATAAATGACCTAGAAAACACATGCATGTGCATGGTAGATCATTTCTGAGCCATCAACCATGGTGGCCTAGAAAAATGAATTCCTCCCATTTGTATGTTTTTTCCAACCGAATTGTAAGCGATAACAACTCATGAGTCATTAGATAAATTTGAACTTTTATTATTTCAGTAAACTATAACTTATATAATGAATAAGTTATTCGAACAGAAGAAAAACAACATAAAGCTTTAAGCTTGGTAGTGTAGAGTAGGAAAGTAGACAGAGAAATGATGATCATAGGTGGAAATAAACAAAGATGATTCGGAAAATCTATTTAAGCTCATCGGGAGTTTTTACCCTTCTCCATGGCTTGGGAATAATTAGGGCAAGAACGAGAAGAGTGTAAAGGATAATAGAAAGGACACAAAAGGCACCGACGTATTCGATACGGTTCTGGCAGGAGAGATCACCGAAGCACGCACTGAAATCTTTGAAGTTTTCAATTTCAGGTTTTCTAGAAACAGAAAATGAAGCTTACGGTTGTCCTTCCAGCAAAACATTTCCAAATCCAAGGCAACATTGAACACAAGCCACTACGAAGCAACTGACTCCAACGGCACGATGAACTGGCATCAGAAGAGCACGATACTTTCCAGGAGAGCAGGGACACAAATAGGTGCAGAATCCGAATGAGAACTGAAAATTATTGATTTAAAGAAGTTGCACGCCCCTTGAGGAGTTGAACTTGTGGGCCCAAAGCCGGAGGTGCTGCGTCGCTACCAGCTGAGCTACGGTGGCGCGGCGGCACGATAGCAACGCGCTGTGTGAACACTGAACGGTGTACACCGTCACGTTAGAATGCATACCTTGACTTCAAAAAACCCCGAAAAAATATCCCTGAAAAGTATAAAAATCACCTGCACAAGATACACAGCAATCAAACAAACACCAATCCAGCTGTGAACACTTGTGAAGTTGTTGTACTGAAAATATTAAAATAGTCCTGTTGTATTTCCACAGTTAATTAAATGGGGGCACTCACCCCCGTATTATTGGTGCTAATAATAATAACACAAAGAGCTGTAATTGCTAGTCCGATCGCAGTGATATGCAGGGCGGTATGAAGGAGTTTCGAGACCATTTTCGCGTCATGTCGATAGACTCGGTAGGCGAGAAGAGCTGAAAACAGTAATGTGACCGTAACAAAAAATTATCATTTCTCAAATCAAGCTCTAATTTTGTTTAGGTTACTCTAAAAATTTCAGAAAAATCGAAAAATTCTTGACTACTTTTTCAGGAATGCAAATTTTTACTACCTTAAACCCTGCATAACCCAAACCAGTGATGGGAGGAATTCCCGTTTCCGTTTCAGCGGAAAAAAAATTTACGATTCCGTTTCCGTAAAAGTGAAATTCTATTTCCGTTTCCGTTTTCCGGAAAAATCACCATTTTTTTCAGCGGAAACGGAAAAAAAATGTAAAACCAACGAAAACATTAAACTGAAACTGGCTTTAAAAAAAGCATAGAAAGTGATGCAAATATGGTTTTTAAACGTTAAAAAGTGTATATTTTTATCTTTGAAAAGAAAAAATCCTGAAAAATAGACAAAAATTAGAAATTTCTGTTTTCGTTTCCGTTTTAGTTTTCCGTTTTCCCCACTTTTTTGAAGATTTTTTTCCGTTTCCGTTTCCTCGAAAAAAATTGACGATTCCGTTTCCGTTTCCGTTTTCCGTAAAAAAAATATTAGTCGTTTTTTTCCGTTTCCTTTTTCCGCGGGAAAAATTTCCGTTTCCGTATTTCGGAAAAATGCGTTTCCTCCCAGCACTGACCCACACACTCTCAAGTTTGAGCTCAATTATCTCAGTTCCTATGCAAGATATCAAAGTTCTGTCAACTGATAAAATGTTTGTGGTATTATGATAAACAGCTTTTTCATATCTTTCACAGAAACGGAGATAAATCGGCTCAAAGTAAAGAAGCCCTTCTATTACCGGTTTTTCGGCACTTACCCTCTCCTTGAAAATAAATGAAGGCAAGGACCATCAAGAACGCATGAAGCTGATCTCCTTTCTTGCCCATCGTTTCCACTTCATTCTGATTCCAGTCTCCTGTCTGATTCAGCGCTGTAGGCCAACCCAAACCATCTTTGAACGTATTAAAAAAGTATCCATTCAGACAAATTGTCACAAATCCCACGAAATGTGTAAACGATAAAATGATATCGAAATAGTTCCAAGATGAGGTGTCATGTCGAGAATCGGTCGACATCCTAAAGAAAAAATAATTATAGGGAAGCGGAAAAATTTTCAGCTAGAAGCAAGAAATGTTTGTGCAATGGAGAGGTGAGAAAATTCTAGTGGAGATAACAGCAGAGGGTGAGTCAGGTTTGAAAACACCCACATTCCTAAAAGGGAGGTTTTTTGGAGTTGGGAAATATAGTGAAGAAAAATAGTGAATCACTGTTCGAAACTTTAGAATTTTTAATGAGCTTTAAGTGGGTACCGCAAAGCCCTTAGAGCCCCCAAAGGTTGAACTTTGAACTCAATCGTCTAGTTTTCGTCCATGATACAAAAAAGGTATCCACTGATAAAATGTTTATCATAATATCACAAATATTTTACCAATTGACAAGTTTTTGCTATCTCTTATAGGAGCCGAGATAATTTAGCTCAAACTGGACAGTGTGAAGGCCCTTCTATTACAGGTTTTACGGTAAATACATTTCTAGTTTAAACTTTTTTTTAAAGCTTCAAATTTACAGTAACCAACTGAGAAATGGTTAAAAATTGGAGCCAAGAAATAAAAGTCCAGAATTTTTCAAATCGAAAAAATATTCCAGAATTTTTCAAATTGAAAAAATAGTCCAGAATTTTTCAAATTGAAAATTTTCACTATCAGAAAATTTTATTTTACGACTTGTTGAAGGAAAAAAGCAGAGAGAAAGCGAGAAAAAAATTACGGAAATTGAACAATATTTTGAGGTTACGGTAGTTGTCGTTGAGGGACCATCGGCCACGAATACCGGTTCCTCACTGTTAGTACTAGAGAAATATGAAAATTCATATTGTTTTGCACAAATTAAGCAATAAAACATACACATGCACCACCTTCAAATTGTTCAGAGAATTTTAGAAAGCACTCAAAACCTTTAGAAGTTTTCAACGATTTATTTAAGACTATACAAATCCGATCATGAAATTCGAAAAACTCTAGAAAAACGCAAAATGGGTAAAAACTGAAAACCAATCCCCTTCTCTCGAAAATGCAGAGAAGACTGCCAACGTAAGAGTGATAAGGTAAGAAATAAGAAGTTGTAGGTGGTGTCGGGACGGGGCAAGAAACATAGTTTTGCTCTCTATTCTTATCATTCTCCCCATTTACAGCATACACATGTTGATACACACGCACAAATACAACCACAACCAATGGCATTTTCTACATAACTTTTTCATTCATAAATGACTGTAATGTGCAGAACAAAAAGTGGTGATTATGATAGGGACAAATAGTAAATAAAAATAAAGAATTCAGTGTACTGTTTTTTGGTTTGGTATACCACCTTCCTGGGGGGAGAGATGGGTGTGGTGGATAATAATATTTGCAGTTGGTATTTTGCTTAATGTGGTATCTTGTGAAGACCAATCGGAAATATTATTCCGGTACAAAAAATCGGAACCGTGGCCGAAGAAATCAAAGAAAACATGCCGATCCAACTCCAGCTTTTGAAACCACTGGTCTAGAATCAATAATTCTGACAATCGTTTTACCCTTTCATAGGCGTTGCATTTCCAGCACTTTATACAAGACAAGTGGAACTCCAAGAATGCCGCCCAACCAGTCAACTTTGAGCTCGTATATCTCATTTGCTGTAAAAGATATCAAAAGTAACAAACTGATAAAATGTTTATCATAATATCAGAAACATTTTATCAGTTGACCACTTTTTGATATCTTTCACAGGAATCGAGATATACCGGCTCATAGATCGTGTTTCAAAGGTTTGTCATGTAAGGATCGGACTGAAATCGTTGGAGCCATTTTTAGGCTTTTTAATATTTTGTACACATATTATTCTGTACATATATTCTGTACACATGTTCAAATCGAAACATTGGAAACGGCAGAATAAGCAAAATTTTATTATTTTTTGCATGTCAAAATAAAAAATAAAATAAATTAATCTCGGACAAAAACTACCGTACTTGCTCTTGCAATTTGAGCTCAATTATCTTGGATCCTATGAGAGATATCAAAAAATGTTTAACTGACAAACTATTCATCATAATATCACTATTATTTTATCAGTTGACAGTATTTTGATATCTCTCCTAGGAACCTAGATAATTAAGCTCATAGGGTGGACTTCCATAATACGGTAGAACCCGTCTTATCAAGTTCTTCCACTGGTATGCCGTGCCAAATGACACTGTCAATGACACCCACATTCATCAACAACCATATCTCGATATCTCTTAATCTGCACATTCTTCTTCTGATCCACAAATAGAATCTTCATCGATGTCAAGTGCGATGGAGCGCATTTTGCAGGCATCGTGGTGTTGGGTCGAACCAGATGAATTGTAGACTGCACGATGGCGTGCGACGTGGCATTCATGGTCTTGTGAAAAGGGGCGGAGCATGCGCCAGAACAATAGTACGCAGGGAATCCTTCTGGAGCAATGACCCATTGTTTCCATCCGAGAATGTCAAAATCCACGTAGAGTCCTTTTCGTTGGCAAAGTGCATTTGCGTCGGCTGAAAATGAATCTGTTTTTGGAGCCAGCGGGGGAGGGAATAGGCAATTACGTTTCTCAAAGTACGCAGATTCGCTTCTCTTGGTTTTTTGTCTCATGGGAGAGGAGGAGATCGGAGCCGCCGATGCAGCACGGCGGGATCTTTTCTTCGGTGGTCCCGCTTCTTCATCCTTCAACGCAATCACCAAAAACGCCTCAATTTTCAGATCATTTTCTGAAAATTCGTTTTTAGTTCCAAAAGACCAACCTGAGCCGGCCGCGGCCGACCGTGGCACAGCCTTGATTTAAACCAAACCTGTCGAAGCTCTAGCAGTGATAATTGGCAATGTCGACAGTTGCAAATGGGACCATCTATCCACCATTGTGGTGACGTCACTGACTACTGTAGGGTCTTCAGAAGACACAAGTACAGTATCCCCGGCAAGGCTGGAAAAGGATATTTCCTTCTAGGTCCCCTAGACTAGATGGCTTGCAACTCACTTGGTGTCCTCAATATAGAAAAATACAGGAGACACAATTCCCTGAATGTGGATTCTCAACTGGGCGCGAAGTATAGATTGACCCTCTTTAGATGGAACATGCTCTTTAGCAAATCGGATGCGGTAGGAACCATCTACAAGCCGACGGGAGACTTCTTGAGCCATATGGGACACAATGCGATCAGCGCTGAGCCACGCGTTCACCTCGTCCTCGTCATGGGTGTCTCTGAAAGGGTCCGGGGATAATAGGATGAAGTTTTGAGAATTTAAAATATAGAATTCAGATCTACCGTACAGTGCGTTTCATAAGTATAGGTTCACCCTCGGTAGACAAGGTGGGAAATCTTGGAGGTTTGAGGTTGTTATAATATTAAAGTCCATGTAAAAATACATATCGCCCACAATTTTTAGACCGCTACTACAAAAAATAATTTTTTATGCCAGAAAAAGTCTTTTTTCTTGAAAAACGAGCGTTTCATAAGTATAGGTTCACCCTTGAAAAAAATTACAGTTTCACATAGGTGATAACTTTTTAACTATTTTTACTGTTTTTAACTATTTTTGCGTCTTTTACTTCGTTTTTCTTATGCCGCGAGCCACTCATCTCTCGGATTCGGAGCGAGCTCAGATCGACGCGTTCAAAACGGCTGGATGGTCGAATCGGCGCATCGCAGCTAGGTTAGGACGGTCTTTCAATTGTATTAACACGTTTGCTAACAATCCGGACCACTACGAGACCAACAAGAAGAGCGGAGCTCCGAAAAAATTGACGGATCGAGACACGAGAAGCATCATCAGACTGGCATCCAATTTGATGAAGAGCTGTAACGACATAAAGAATGAGCTGAAACTGGATGTGAGCAAGTCCACGGTCTGGAGAACACTGGACAGCAATCAGAACATTGTCCGAGCCAAGTTAATGTCCGCGCCGATGCTCACCGATGCTCACAAAGCGAACCGACTTCAGTTTGCAAGGAACAACATGGCAACTGATTGGGATAAGGTATGGAATGCTTTTGAAATCATCACTTATGCTGTTTTCTATTACAGATCATCTTCAGCGATGAAAAAAAGTTCAATCTGGACGAGCCGGACGGCTTCAACAGTTACTGGCATGACCTGAAGAAGGATCCCCTCCATTTCTCCAAGCGTAACTTCGGTGGTGGTCGTCTTATGGTCTGGGGAGCATTCTCTTCTGCCGGTACTGTGGATTTGGCGTTCGTCTCCTTCAGAATGAACTCGACAGACTATCAGGATGTCATGACTGCCAAACTGATCCCATATCTTCGCCGTTTTCATCGGCGTCAGCTCACATATCAACAGGACAATGCTTCGATTCATGCGAGCAGATCGACTTTGGACTGGTTCAAGTCCAAAAAAATCAAGGTGGTGGATTGGCCGGCTTGTTCGCCGGATTTGAACCCAATGGAGAATGTTTGGGCTGAACTCGTGCGCGTCGTATATGGTCAGGGAAAGCAATACCAGACCGTTTCTGAGCTCCAAACTGCCATCGTGGACGCATGGAAGAACCTGAAGAAGCCTTACCTCCAGAAGTTGTTAAATTCCATGCCAAACCGCTTGTTTTCTATTATTTCCATTGGTGAAAAGCCCACAAAGTATTGAATTGAATAAAACTTTGTTAATGTTAAATTTTCCGGGGGTGAACCTATACTTATGAAACGCTCGTTTTTCAAAAAAAAGACTTTTTCTGACATAAAAAAATTATTTTTTGTAGTAGCGGTCTAAAAATTGTGGGCGATATGTATTTTTACATGGACTTTAATATTATAACAACCCCAAACCTCCAAGATTTCCCACCTTGTCTACCGAGGGTGAACCTATACTTATGAAACGCACTGTATTAGCTCTCTCTTACTATTAGAGAACTTCGTATTTCTTATAACTTTGTTATCTCTTTAGATACTGAGAGGAAACTTAGATATTTGATATTATTTTCCCTTACTTTGCTCTTCAAAATGAATCCCAACACAACTAGGCTCCGCCCATTTTGATTTTCGACTTTAAAGGCGCATAGGAGGTCAAAATTTTCAAAATGGGCGGAACCTAGTCGTGTTGGGGCTCATTTTGAAACTAATAAATTGAGAAACTTGAATATTTATGTTTTATTTTAGAATCTAATAAAATAAAAAAGTTATGATAGAAAGAATATACTTTTGACATAAAAATACTATTTTTGTTTGATTGATTTTTTCTCGGTTCCCATGAGAGATATCAAAAAGTTGTCAACTGAAGAATTGTTTACCATAATATTAGAAGTATTTTATCAGTTGACAGATCTTTGATATCTTCTGAAAGAACCGAGATAATTGCATGGTTCAAAGTGCATGGTTTCATTTAATTTACAGCCAACCCCATTCTCGATATCTTTGGCAGGAACCGAGATAATTAAGGTCAAACTTGATAGTCGGGTGGGGGGGGGGGGGCTTCTATTACAGGTCCAGAAATTTAAAGAAATCACTCACCCGTGTTCATAATTCTCCAGTTGCTTATACAGAGTTTTCATATAAGACGACACATGGGTATTTGTCTTAGCAGGTGGGTCAGATGGATTTATATCAATGTTGAAGAGCTCACGAATCTGTTCACCGATTTTGATTTGTTGTTTGCTGAAAAATCCCCAAAATATGAAAGAACAACTACCCCAAAACAAATCACCTATCAGTCAACGGTTGTGTATAAGTCTTTCCATCTCGCTCCTCCACAAAATAGATTCCCTTGCCAAAAATGCCACGTGTCAGTAGAAGCAGTAGAAAGAGGCGCATTTAAATGTGATGTAATTCGAGAAGAACACTGGGGGCGAAAAATGGGGGACTTTGAATTTGCTGAAAGGATTATATTGAGGAAACAGAGGAAACGAAGAAATAGAGAGATAGAGAGGGCACATGTGTCTTCTTGCCCGATTCCCCAGACACTTTCTGTCAAGCAGGCGGGTGGAAACATTCGAAAAAATAGAAGAAAAATGAGAATGGAGAGAGATTGGAGAGAAGGAGAAAACAATGGAAAAAGAAAGATGAAAACGAACCAATTTGTCATAAGTACGGTTAATCATGGGTGCCGCCGGCTGACATATGTCGGGTTTCTTTGTTGGTCAGAATACTGTAGAAGTGGCCAGTGACAAGAACCATTGATCAAAAAAATTTTAATTCAGAGATTATCTAAACTAAATTATCTGAAAAAGCACCTAGAAAGTTTACCGGAACAGAATTGTTTGTCTGAACAACTACCGTAACTTTAAAATATACCGAAAACACTCTAATATAAGGCCTTCCTACACTTGCACTTTAAGCTCAATTATCTTGATTCCTATAAGAGATAACAAGATTTTGTCAACTAATAAAATGTTTGTCATAATATCACCAATTTTTAATTAGTAGACACAATTTTAATATCTCTTCCAGAAATTGAGATAATTGAGCTTAAAGTGCAGGAATTGGCTTCTATGTATTTACGTTCCGGATTCATTTTCTTGTTTTCCACTTTGTTCTTCTGTTATTTTCCTCTAGAAAAGTCGTCGAAAAAACGTTTGACACCTAAAAAAACAGACTAAAAATGCATAAAAATCCGGGAAATTTATTTATATTTTCTGATTACGATAGTTGTCGTTGTGGGACCTTCGACCACGGTCACAGCTCCGATTATTTGTACCATATTTTGTTTTTTTATATTAACAATTTGTGTGTTTTTCAATTTTTTTCTCCGTTTTCTCCTATTTCAAGCATTTCCCGAAGCCCCCCGCTTCCCTGCAAAAAACCTCACTTTCCTCAACTCCCTGTCGCACCCTTGCGAAACCTACGCGCGCGCATTGCAAGTGGGCGTGTCTCGCTTTTTCGATCAATTTCTCAAGCTTTTTTCTTTGAGATTTCGAGAAATTTCAGTGTTTTCGATGGTTTTTCTTCGATGAATCATCAAAACACTAATTTATCTGTGATTGTGAATAGATATTAACTATTTTCGCTGTCAGATATCGTGGTTTTCGCATGTTTTTGCTTCTTTCCGCGTCTTTCTTGTTTGAGCAAATTTTTACTTCAGATGAAGCGCGGCTACAAACGAGGGCGAGCAAAGGACACTGAAGATCGTCGCCAACTTGAAGCGTTCCAGAAAAAGCAACAAGAACTTCAAGAATTGGAAGCGCAGCTCGCAGAGAAAGATCGTAGTTTAGCCGAAGGCACGAAGGTAATATTGAGGAGAAAACCTTGAAAACGCAAATAATTATTGATAAATTATCGATTATAATTTATTTTCAGCGCTTCGAGCAAAACTACGGGAGCCCGCCGGATGCAGATTTTGGAGATTTTTCGCCACCGAGAAGCAGCATTATCAACAAAAAGCAAAACATTCTAATCGATATTTCTAGCGATGATTCTGATGAGTTAGTATTTACATACAGTTTTTCGAATATTTATTTTTTTCATTTTCAGCTCTTCTAAAATCCGAATCGACAGTTCTTCTAGCTTCCCTTCTCAGTCGTCGCCTAGATCAGCGAAACGATTAAAACGTAATAAGCGTTATCGTCAAGAAAACTATGATCATCAGCAATATGATCACCACGAGGAGCCACACTATGAATACGATCAGCAAGCACCAGACTATCAGTATGAACAGCATCATGAACCCTACTATCAATACGAAGAGCAGGAATATCAGTATAGCTCTCCAGAAGAATACTCTGGACGCAGCCCAGTTTATGAGCATCCACCAGACTACGAGAATTTTAGATATGAACCTCCGCCGTTCTATGATGCGGATGTGCGAGTAGACGAAATGCCCCGGTGGCCGATGCAAGGAGACTCATCGACATCAAGTGAGGAGGATTATAGACGACCGATACCCTTTTGGAACCATCGGGTAGAAGTGCGAATAGACCCGATGCCAGCTTTCCCTATGACTGAAGAAGAGGAAGAGGAAGAATTCAGAGAAGACCCTCAAGACGATCCAGAATACGCTGCCAGTAAAGTACGCGACAAGAAAGTCCGTCTTCAACTGAGAATGATTGCTAAACAAGCACAGTGGGCGGAAGCTCAACCCAAAAGCGCGCCGTACGATGAGGACGAAGAGAAAGACAGGGATCGAGAAAGAGAGCGTCGTGAGAGACGAGAGGCGCGTAATACGATAGCTGAATACAAGGAAAAAGTTGTGGATAAAATGCGTGAAGATCGTCAAAAGGATCGAGAGCGAGAGCTTAGAAAGCTAGATGAGGAACGGGCGAAACGGCACGCGTTGAGGGATAGAAAAGAAGAGGAAGAGGCTAGACGAAGAAGACGTGATAGGAGAAAGATGGAGGAACTGTTGAAGGCGGCGGAAACCGATGAGATGTTTTTAAAGTACTTGACACCGGCGTTCGGAGTTCTAGAGTGTAAATCGGAGAGGATCGATGGAACAGGTATTTCTTGAACCTCAACACCGTGTAAAGCCAGATTTTGAGGAACTCGGAAAGTTTAAGAATCCGCTCGCCAGTTTCTGCCGAGTGATATGACTTTCAGCTCCAAAAATCCATTTTTAGTGCAAAAAAAGCGATTTTTTAAACTTCTAGGACGTTTCAAAACATGAAATCTGGTTTTTTGAGCCAAAAACTAGACAAAATCGCAGAAAAACTAGTGATTTTTCGAGCCAAAAAACAGAAAATTGCTGAAAAAAAAGTGATTTATAAAGCCAAAATTTGAAAAAAAATCGGTAAAAATGGTCAATTTCTGAGCTAATATGATATGTGATTTTTTAAAATATTTGATTTTCCGAGACAAGAACCAAAGAATTCTGTGAAAAACTAGCAGATTTCTAAGCCAAAAATCGTAAAAATGGCGGAAAAAAGAGCGTTTTATTAGGCTGAAAATTGAAAAATCGGTAAAAAATGAGTGCATTTTTTTGAGCCAAAAATTGCGGTTTTTCACTAAAAGTAAGCTTTAAAATATCGATTTTTATAGAAAAATAGCTATTTTGGCTCAAAAAATCTCTCATTTTTCTGCGTTTTTTTTTTCAATTTTTGAGTTTTAAAATATTTGTTTTCCATTCCAGATCCCGTCGAATACGTTTCCAAATGTCATTCTGTAAATGTGCCGAAAGAGCTTCTCTACGGAACGAAAATCGCCGAAATCAAGGGCGAAGGCTACAAAGGAGCGATCATGAACTTTGTCGACAAAATCGTCGGACTCGGTATTCTCGACAGTTCGTTGCGCAAGAACATGCAGCGCGTCGAGGTGACACTAACGATTTCTGGCTATTTTATAACTATAATATTCAGAAGCTCCCAAAGTTCCTAGCTGAGTTGGTCGAGCCATTGTGCAATGATATTGCAATCTATGGCACCCAAATCAGCGGTAAGTGTAATAGTTTTCAGCCTCCTATGCTAATTCCCATATTTTTGTATAATTATTTCTCTATCGTTTCCACTAATCTCTATAGTATCTCCTCAAAATTCAGTGACCGACGACGCTCGCAACATGAGAAGCAATTTTGAGACGTTCTGTAAGGAAAAGAGCGCCGAGTTCTGGAGTCAAAAGGAGCACAAGATGAAACTCGGCGATTTTATGAGGAAATACGAGAGAAAGCGCTCACATTCCACGTCGACTTCTGGAGAGCGCAGACGAAACGATCGGGATAGACGGGACCGGGTCCGAAACCGTTCTAGAAACAGGGATCGCAAACGTACGGCTTCGGCTTCGTCTTCATCGAAAGAAGACTCGCTGAAATCGCTATTTGCCACTGTTAGCAGCGGGGTGACGTCTCCAGATTACTCTGTAATTGATCCTTTGTATCATGCACCGATTTATCCAACCAGCAACAGCTTCCATCAACAGAATTCCGAATTCATGTCTTACGGATTCTCTAACAATTCTCATCAGCCAGTCATGAATCAGCACATGGACCCATCGCAATTCTACCCTCCAGGAGTCCCTTCTCAACAGCAACCACAACCGCTTAAAGCACCTCCACTCATGAGCGGACTTCTCATGTTCACACCAAACGAGCCAGTGATGCAGCAACCTTCAATGCAAGCAGCTCCACCTCAAAACTTCATTCCTGCACAACCAATGGTTCCGATCAATGCTTCTATGCCACCACAGGAACCGCCAGCACCACTACCGGTAGCGCAGAAAGACGACGACGCCGACTTGATGGATGAGATCTTCTCAATGTGACGACTTGATAAATAATTTTCCTTATACTTGATTCATTTTCTGTCGTATTCTTTTCCTATTTGAGCCTGACCCATTTATATTCGCCTCCGTTTGTCCGCTAATTGGGTTTAATTAAAGACACCGTTAAATTATTCCCCGGAATTCGATTTTATAACCCTTTTTAACCCCTATTTTGGACTTTTCTCCCTACCAAATAGTTTATTTCAAGTATTAAGGTAATACTATTAACCCCCGGCTATTATTATTACCCCTTTATTAGTATAAAGTTATTCTTGTCTAATTCGGAAAAGAAGAGAGTGTTCATGTTTTTTCAGAAGCTTCCAGTTTTTTTTCAGGTTTCGACGTAGAAGCAAATTGCGATATGACGGCGTTTATTTCCTGGGAATTTTCAGATTTGCAACAATTAACGGTAAATATATCGTTGGACATTCGGTTCTTTTGGATTCTGCAACCACGTCCTCGCGGAAGAGAACCTAGATTTAAAAATTGGAAAGCGCGCCAAGTTTGGACGCGGTCGCGTCGCGGCTTTTCGGTGAGTAGCGACTCAACAACGCTTAACTTCACGTATTTTTCAAAACACGTTTTGAAATTTTCGAATCTGGCATGCAGCCAACTTTTGTGCGCGACGAAGCGCGCTTTTTTCAGGTTCCCAACCGCGATGCCGTGTGCAACAGAAAAAAAACTACCAAAAAACCTGTATTAGAAGAGCCCCTTTAGCAGAAGAACCGGCAGGCTCTTCTAATACAGGTTTTACAAAGTTTGGGATGAACTGAAAAATTGAAAAAATTTCGTGAAACTTCAAAGCAGGGGGGAGGATGAATGACCAGGAATGAAACATAATAATGATCACAATAAGGGAAATAAAGCAGAGAATTACAGATAAATTGATAAATTTTGATGAACAAAATTCAAAATATTCGGTAAATATTGGTGCTAGTCGCATAGTGGAGAATTTTTAAATACAGAGAAATGAGGAGATTTTTAATTAATTGTAAGAGGAAGGGAATACGAAAGAGGGCAGTGAAAGCTGAAAAAAGTTTCTAAATCTCAATTTATCTTTTAGAATCAATATTTTTCCGAGCCAACAAAATTAGACAGGACAGAACTTGACGAGTACTACAAAATGATACTATTTGGAACACTGCATCTTGTCTATGAACAAAGTTACAACGTCATAAAGCTGTGACCGCGTAGCTTAGGCGGTTTTTGGCTTGAAACTTTGTTCATAAACAAGATGCAGTTTGTTCCTTTCAGAATCAATATTTCTAGACCAACTAAAGTGGATACCATAGAACTCGACAAGAACTACAAAATGATACTAATTTGATTACTGTTGCTTGGCTATGAACAAAATTATGAGCCAAAAACCGTCGGAGCTACACGTTCACAGCTTTATGGTCTTGTAACTTTGTTCATGGACAAGATACAGCAATCCGATTAGTCTCATTTTGTAGTGCTCGTCAAGTTTTATCACATCCAATTTAGTTGGTTATAAAATGTTGATTGGTTTATTTACATGAAATCTAGTAACAGGGCATTGGTGGAAACCTGGAAAAATTATTTCGAATTTCGGAATTTGTCAGACCTGAAGTTTACTTCTTGCTAATTGTCTTATTCTTCTACCAGTGCACACTCATCTCTCATTTATATATTATCACTCATAGCTAGAGGACACACGAACGGACAGCAACATCAGCATATGAAGGAGGGGTGGGGTTACAAATTGTTTACGAGCCAGCCAGCCGTTGACCCCTCCGAGCAGCGGTCAGTCTTCATTTGTGTGCACTCGTTTTTCTTCTTCTTGGAAGAACTTGTGTTCAAAATTTATAAATAACTTTTTTTGGTATAATTTGTTATTTGAGCTAGAGAAAATGTTTAGTCTAGCAGAAGACCTGTCATAGTTCCTTTTAGGACCAATATTTCTGGACCAATTAAGTTGGATACACTAGAACTCGACGAGTACTACAAAACGATTCTATTTGGAATACCGTATCTTGTCTATGAACAAAGTTAGAATGCTATACAGTTGGAGTCGCGTAGCTCCGACAGTTTTTGGCTCATAACTTTGTTCATAGCCAAGCAACAGTAATCAAATTAGTATCATTTTGTAGTTCTCTTCGAGTTTTATCATATCTAACTCAGTTGGTCCAGAAATATCGATTCTGAAAGGAACGAGGACAGGGAATGTTTTCAACTCGAGTTCACAGTTCTGAGTTTTTCTTCTTCCGCGAAGAACAAGTGTTCATAATTCATAAAGTTTTTTTGTTCTAATTTGTTATGCCCGATTGTGAGTAAATGTTTAGTCTAGCAGAAGACCTGCCATAGTTCCTTTTAGGACCAATATTTCTGGACCAATTAGGTTGGACACAATAGAACTTTATGAGTACTACAAAATGAGACTATTTGGAATACTGTATCTTGTCTATGAACAAAGTTAGAAGGCTATAAAGTTGGAATCGTGTAGCTCCGACGGTTTGTGGCTCATAACTTTGTTCATAGACACGCTACAGTAATCAAATTAGTATAATTATGTAGTTCTCTTCGAGTTCTATCATATCTAATTCAGTTGGTCCAGAAATATTCGTCCTAAAAGGAGCTAGGGCAAGAACCGTTTTCAAGTCTTATTCAAAGTCCTAAATTCCAAAAAAAAAACCGGATATCATAAACCAAAAACCTCATTCTCGCCATTCCATTACATCCAATACACTTTCTGTTTGACAGTCTGGCAGGTGCAACACAAAACATTATTTCCCATCTCAAATAAGCTACAATTTCGAAAACCTTTGCTCTCTTTTCCCCTCTCTTTTCTCCGTCAAATCGTTCCTCTTTCAGTTCTTCTTCTCCTCCATGAATCTTCCTGTCAAGTCTTGCCTTCTTATCTCGGTTACAAACATACTTATCTTCTTGTACTTCTTATCAACGTGTAGAAAAAACGATGGGCCGGATAGTTATGGTGCCACTCCGACGGTTCTTCAGATACGGTAATAATGCTTTCTTGGAAGATAAATGAAGTTTAAATTTGAAATTGATTTCAGGGAAAATCTAGAGATCGATGACACATTTCCAATCGTTTTTTATAGTACTGCATATCTAGATTACAGGTAAAGTGATGGAATATTAAGTTTGATTGGTTTTAGGTCCCACAACGACAACTACTGTAACTTGAAAAAAGTTTTACTTTCAGGTTACTGTAGATGTCGTTGTGCGACCTTCTGACCTTCGGCCACTGCTGCTGGAGTTTCTCTCCCATAGCTCCGATGTTTTGTATTAATCTAATCACGGCGATGCGCGTTTAAAGGCGAAAGTACCGTATTAAAGGCGCATGTACTTATTCCAAGTCTTTTTTCCTGCTGAACCGACGATGCACCTTTAAACACTGGAATTGTATTTTTTGGTATGTGCATAATCCTAACTTTTAACGTCAGTAACGAAACCAGAAAACCATATATTGAAAAATTTTCGAAATTGGATCAAAACTGATAAAGTTACGGTAGCTTGAACTTTCCCAGGAACCTCTAAAAGCAAAAACTACCGTGAATTGGTCATTTTTGCTCCTAACCAAAATATTTTCATAAATATGAATTTCTCACATTCAGTGCTTCAAGATGAGTATAAGCATGACCTGGTTTCCAAAAATGTCAAATTTCGGACCCCAATGCGCTTTTAAAGCGTCAAAAACTAAAGTGGGCGGAGCCTAGTCATGTCTATACTCATTTTGAAGCTCTCAACACAACAAAATCGAAAATTTAAATTTCAGTTGAATCTGACCGTTTTCAAAAATTTTCAAATTTGGATCAAAACTGACAGTTACGGTAGCTCGAACTTTCTCATGGTCCCCTAGAAACAAAGACTACCGTAACTTGGTTATTTTTGCTTCTAACCCTAATATTTTTAAAAAAATGAACTTCTCATGTTTAGCGCTTCAAAATGAGTATAATCATGACCTATTTTTCAAATATTGGAAATCTTGGACCCCTATGCGCCTTTAAAGAGTCAAAAACCGAAGTGGGCGGAGCCTATACTCATTTTGAAGCTCTTAACGTGATGAGACTGAAAAACAGAGTTTCAAATTTCCCAGGTACCCAGTTCCCCGACTACGTGTATTTTCCATGAATCCCTGTGCCACTTCTCAAGAATACATCTCTGCGGAAATCCAGAAATCCTCGGAATCTGGAAATCGAACGACGAAAAAAGTGAAGCTAAGAGGCGAGCCAACAGAAGGCGAGTGTCCATGGCACTGGGCGACACAGTGCTTTTATAATTCGTACACTTGGACGGCAGAGCTGTTTGAAAAGGAGAGAGGAGAGAAAGGAATGGAAAGGGCACAAGTTGATGGGGTGAGTTGATGGGACGCTATTTGTGTAATGTGATTGGAAAATGTGTGATTCACACTGAAGACCAATACAGAAGAGTACGGTAGAAACAATTTTCAAATTTGAATCAACAATTACAGAGTTACTGTAGCTGGGGGTCCCTAGAATCAAAACCTACCGTAACTCGATTAAATTTTTTTCAAGCACAATTTTTTTTATATAAATAAATTCATCATGTTTAGAGCTTTAAAATGAGTATAACCATGACCTACTTTCTAAAAATTTGAAATGGGCCTCAAAAGCCAAAAACCCCTATGCACCTTTAAAGCGTCACCTAAGTGGGCGGAGCCTAGTATGTTTATACTCGTTTTAAAGCTCCCAGCGTAATAAAATAGAAGAATTAAGTTTCAGGTGGGCCTGAGTGTTTTCAAAAACTTTGAATTCGGATTAAAATTGACAGAGTTACGGTAGCTTGAACTTTTCTAGAGACCCCTAGAAACAAAAATTACCGTAACCTGGTTATACTTTGCTTGAAGCTCAAATATTTGTATACAAACGAACTTCTCACTTTATTGCTTCAAAATGAGTTTAATCATGACCTAGCTTCCAAAATTAGGAAACTTCGGACCCCTATGCACCTTTAAAGCAAAAACCAATGTGGGCGGAGCCTAGTCGTGTTTATACTCATTTTGAAGCTCTCGAAGCGTTAAAATTGAAAAATCAAATTTCAGGCAAATCTGACAATTTTCAGCCGGGTTTCGGAATGTTTCGTATGGGATTCCAAAATATGAAAAAAAAAAGACTTTTTTTTCAGATAATTATTCGCCTCAACGATCTCAAAGTTTTTCTGAAAATTCATGAAGTCCATCCCAAGAAAAAGGGCGGGTTTACTGTATGTGTTCAACCAGTTTATTGGTATTCCGAGTTTCACAATATTGCACTTTTTATTGAGGTTTGCCTTTTAGCTAGTTGATCATCCTATACTTTGAGCTCCATTATCTTAGTTCCCTTAAGAGATATCAAGAATTTGCCAACTGATAAAATGTTCATCATAATATCATTAACATTTTATTAGTCGACACATTTTTGATACCTTTCAAAGGAACCGAGATAATTGAGCTCAAAGTTTACTTAAAGACATTTAAAGTATTTTCATTTCAGACTTGGAGATCCCAGGGAGCAACTCGCTTCATAGTCTACTTCCATTCATCTACCAAAGAAGTCAGATCTCTTTTGGAATACTATCAATCTCTTGGAATTTTGAAGCTCAAACCATGGCCAAGTTTTGGATCCTTATCTCCTACCGTATCTTCCCACTATCATTTTCCGTCTGTCGACTCTTCGACCTACCGTGTTGGACACACTCTTGCTCAGAATTTATGTGCTCTGGAGATGTCTACAGAGCTCGGAGCGATAGCTGATTTCGATGAGGTTATGGTAACCGACGAGGGGATTCTGGTGGATTATGTGGAAAATATAATGAAGGATCTGAATGTTGGAGCGATCAGATTCAATCATTTGCTGATGAAATTCGAGCCAAAAATCTTCTTGTTGGATTATTCTGGAATTATAGAGCCAATTTTCATAAACAGAGCTGGACCCCCAAAGGTGATTAACACTCTAACAGGCAGGTCCCAACTTTGAGCCCATATATCTCGTTTCCTGTGAAAGATATCAAAAAGTTGTCAACTGATAAAATGTTTATCATAAAATCACCAATAATGCATCATTTTACATCTTTTTGATATCTTTCACAGGAAGCGAGATAAACTGGCTCAAAGTTACGGTTCTCCTTTCTGGATTCAAACATGGAACCGTCTGAAAACCGGCTGAAATTGGTCTGATTTAGCTGAAACTTGATTTTCCAATTTTATCGCTTTGAGTGCTTCAAAATGAGTATAAACACGACTAGGCTCCGCCCACTTCGATTATTGGCACTTTAAAGGCGCATAAGGGGTTCTTAATGATTATACTCATTTTGAAGCACTTGATGTGAGAAATTCATTTCCATAAAAATATTAAGGTTCGAAACAAGAAATAACCTGGTTACGGTAATTTTTGTTTCTAGGGGTCTCTGGAAAAGTTCAAGGTACCGTAGTAATTTTTTCCTCATATTTCGAAACTTCACATGGAATTATCTGAAAACCGGCTGAAAACCGTCTGATTTAGCTGAAACATGATTTTTCAATTTTACCGCTTTGAGTGCTTCAAAATGAGTATAAACACGACTAAGCTCCGCCTTCTTTGGTTTTTGACACTTTAAAGGCGCATAGGGGTTCGAAATTTCAAATTTTTGAAAACCATTTCATGATTATACTCATTTTGAAGCACTTGACGTGAGAAATTCGTTTTTTCTAAAAATATATGGGTTCGAAACTAGAAATAACCTGGTTACGGTAGTTTTTGTTTCTAGGGGTCTCTTGGAAAGTCAATATTAATCCAAATTCAAGATTTTTGGAATGTTTTATGGTTTCGCTTGTAAAGTAAAAGTTGGGCTTCAATCGAAATGTTCACGATAACTAGGAAAAAATTGTATAAGTATACAACTTCAGACTGTCTTCAACAGCTCCAGTGTGGATATTTTGCTGACTCATTCTGTAAGAAGGTTCATTGGAAACGAGTCAACGGTTACTGTAAGTTTTAAAGAGCCAGCTTTGTGCCCAATATACTGCTTCCAGGCCAACGGTGCTCTTCTTCATTACCGTCACAACAGCTACACAGAAGACGCGGAGGAGATTCAAAAACCAAACTACAAACTATTCCAATCTTATCCTCACCTACACATCAAACGAATCCAGAAGACTATTCTGAAAGTCTTTGGATCGTTTCCTGCTGCTTATAACTCCACCTATCTCCACATCTTAAATCAGTGTATCTCGAAGATTGTAGGAGAAGGAAAATGCCGAAGTACTGTTGCATACTGTAATCAGTGGATGAATCCGTTGGCTGATTGGATTCGAGATGAGACCCAAGGAGTTTTTGTTGTCTAGCTTGAACTTTGAGCTCAATTATCTCGGTTTCTATAAGAGATATCAAAAAGTGGTCAACTAATAAAATGTCAACCATTTTATCACCAATATTTTATTAGTTAACACAGTTTTGTTTTCTTTTATAGGAACCGAGATAATAGACCACAAAAAGCAATTAGTTTGTTGGTTATGTAAGCGTTGTGATCCAAAAGTTGTTTCCTGGCAGCTTTTTTAATAAAATCGTCTTATTTAAATTTTAAATTGCAATCTTCATTGTTTTTCAAAGATCTCTAGAAGTTCTACTATTCTTTGTTTTTTGGAAAATCATGACTTATTCATATTGTCTTTTTAGCAAATGCTTCCTTCAAGCCCTATTTCTCCTTTCCCCCTGAAAATTATGTCTGCAACTATTCAAAAACTATGGAAAACTCTGCTCATTTTAGCTCTAACTTCTCTCGTTGTGTTCATTTTTTATTCCGATGAGAAGAAAAATGAAAAGTTGAGAGACGATGATATTCCGATAGTTTTTTATAAGGAGGCTTATTTGGATTACAGGTAAAGCTACCCTTTGCTGCACTTTGAGCTCTTTTCTACCGTAGTTTGGTCATTTTTGCTTGGAACTCAAATATTTTCATTAAAATAGGTTTCTCATGTCAAGTGCTTCAAAATGAGTATAATCATGACCTGGTTTCCAAGAATTTGAAATTTCGAACCCCTATGAGCCTTTAAAGCGCCAAAAACCAAAGTGGGCTGAGCCAAGTCGTGTTTATATTTATTTTGAAGCTCTTGACGCGTTTAGACAATATGCTGATATACCGGAGTACTGTAGGAACTAGGAAAACCAAAAAAATCATGAAAATAATTTCTCTCAAAATTGACTTTCAAGCATACTTGCAAAATTTCGGGCCCGGCCGGCCCGATGTTTGTACAGAAGCTGATTTATTTTTTTTTCGAAAATTTTAAATTAATTTCAAAAATTTAATCAAAAACTTTATATTTTTGACTACTTTCTACTTTGCTAACAGACAAAAATTATGTACCATTTTTGTCTTTTTGAAACCAAAAAATGTCCCAATTTTTCATTGGAAATTTTTTTTACTGAGAATGGCCGGGCCGGGATAATTGTCGCTTTGGCCCGGCCCGGCCCGGCTCGTTGCAAGTGCGCTTTCAAGGGCCCCTTGAATCAAAAACTACAGTATCCTGGTAATTTTTAGCGTTGAACTCAAATATTTGCCTGAAAATGAATTTCCCACATCAAGTGCTTCAAAATGAGTATAACCATGACATGGTTTCCAAGAGTTGGAAATTTCTAACCCCTATCCGTCTTTAAATCGCTAAAAATCAAAGTGGGCGGAGCCTAGTCATGTTTATACTCATTTTAAAGCTCTCGAAGCGATCAATATAAAAAATAGGTTTCAGCTGGATTCGACGGGTTTCAGCCGGGTTCCAGGCTCTTTATCGTAAAATCTTTGAATAAGATTATCTCGGTTTCTATAAAAGATATAAAAAATCTGACAACTGACAAAATATTGCTGATATTATGATAATCATTTTATCAGTTGACGTCTTTTCGAATCTTCGATAGGAACCGCGATAATTGAGCTCAAAGTGCATGTATGCATGATATTTTCAGATATTCACCTCCCCGTATCCGAGTATTTTCTATAAATCCTTGCCTTCATAGCCAAAGTACATTATTGATTAAAATTGGCTCGAAATTTCTAAAATTGAGCGGAGAGCCTCTGGAAGGAGAATGCCCATGGGCATGGGCCCCTACCTGCTATTACAATTCCTACATATTTGAAACTTCTGTAACAGATTCGGATTTTCGAATATCTGAAAATGTGGGTTTATCTTTTTAGGTAAACTTTTAGAACTGGAATTTCAGATTTCTATAATTCTTCAAAACAAAAATTCAGACGTTCCTCTGAAAGTTATCCATCCAAAAACCAAAGAAGGACTAACAGTTTGTGTTCAACCGGTTTATTTGTACAGCCAGTTTCAGAATATTATTTTGTTCATTGAAGTTGGGGTAAATTGTATAGAAACCAGAAAAAAACCTCTAAATTTTAGTCCTGGAGGAATCAAGGAGCTACACATTTTATAGTTTATTTTCATTCATCTACCAATGAAGTTTGGATGGTTTTGGATCATTATCAGAGATTGGTGAGCTTTGAAAATTAAAAAAAAAGCTAAGCCATTGTTTTAGGGAATCTTAACCATAAAACCTTGGCCCAAATTTGGAGATGTTCCAGCTAGATATCCAGAGGTAAGTTTTGTTTCAATACTTTGATTTCGATCCAATTTATCTAAGTCCCTGTCAAAGATATGAAAAAGTTGTCAACTGATAAATTATTTATCATAATATCACCAATATTTTATCAGTTGACATATTTTTGATATGTTTTTTGGGAGCCGTGATAATTGAGCTCAAAGCTGTCAATGCAGATTTTACGGTTTAAAAAAATGTTCCAGATTAATTCGCAAGTCTACCGTATTGGTCACACAATGGCTGCTAATTTGTGTATCTTGAAAATGAACACCACTCTTGGAACAATTGTAGATTTTGACGAAATAATTGTTCCAACAACTGGATCCCCGAATATTCTGGAAAGTTCCAGACAATCATTGAAAGAAGCGAAAGTTGGAGCGCTGGAATTCAAGCACACCAGACTTCAATTGGATTTGAATAGCGAGAAAACTGGTTTTGAGAGGAAATCACTGGAAAATCCAATTCTTCTGGAGAAATCGGGTCCAGTGAAGGTAAGCTAGCTCTCATAGAATAACATCTATTCAGTCAACTTTGAAGCCACATGTCTCCTTACCTGTATAAGATATCAAAAAGCAATTAACTGATAAAGTATTAATATCAGAAATATTTTATCAGTTAACTATTTTCTGATACCTTTCACAGAAATTTAGATAAATTGGATCAAAGCTACAGGTCTCATTTTTTCGGGATTCAAACATGGAACTGTCTGAAACCCGGCTGGAAATAGTCAGATTCAGCTAAAACTCAATTGTTCAGTTTTATTGCGTCGAGAGCTTCAAAATGAGTGTAAACACGACTAGGCTCCGCCCACTTCGATTTTTGGCGATTTAAAGGAGCATTGGGTCCAAGATTTAAAATTTTTCAAAAATAGGTCATGATCATACTCATTTTGAAGCCCTAAACGTAGGAAATTCATTTTTCTAAAAATATTATTGTTGTCTGAGAGAAAAAGGTTGAGACGCAGAGATAAACTGTCTGCGTCTCTACCAAACATGAGCTATTTAGGCTCGGATCTTCGATATTCCTACCGTATTCAGACTGCAAAAAATACTCTCTAACCTTTTTTTCTCAGACAACAATAATATTCGAGTTCGAAGCAAAATTAACCAAGTTACGGTAGTTTTTGTTCCTAGGGGTCCCTGGGAAAGTTCCGGCTATCGTAACTCTGTCACTTTTGATCCACATTCGAAGATTTTTTGGAAGGGGGGGGGGGGGTCCTTCTATAAGAATGGTTACGGTATCATTAGCTACTTCAAAAAAGTGAAACTCCAGCTAGTATTCAACACTTCATCTGTTGGAATTACCCTGACGCATTCTATCAAAAAATTCATCAACAGCTCCTTAAAAACTATTGAAGTTTCAATTGGACTACTACTTCATTATCGTTATAATGGGGGCCAGGAGGCCATGAGAAACAAGAATACGAATTTCAAAATTTTTGAGAAAAATTTTGAAGCCCACATCAGAAATATAGATACTGTAACAAAATCTATATTCCAAGAAAAAAGAAACCTCTATGAGCCCCGAATCATTTTGGAGTTAAATGAGTGTATTGAGGAGATGAGGTAGGTGTGTGGACATCCGGACAAACATACATCTGAAATTTCAGACAATCTCTGGTATGTCGGAGTACAGTAGTAAACTGCAAAAGTCGGATGGAAAAGTTGGTTTCAAATTGAAAATATGAGACGACTTCTGGAATTTTTGTTTTCTGACACCAAAGAAACATAGAACATGATGCCATTGAACTCCAGATGAACCTATTTTGTTCCCACTTTATTCTCCTTATTTATCTTTGTTTATCAGTCTTTCTATTGCTTTCTCATATTCAAATTCCCGCCAATTTTCTCTCCCTTCGTGCAAGCCCGCCTTATCGTTGAGGTCTCGCCACGAAGGGGTTAAAGGCGCACACACACTCGAAACGGGTTTACTGGCCTATTTTTTACTCAGATTAACTGAGTCTTACGCAGATTTAACTGAGTCTTACTCAGTCTAAATCTAGTCTAGTAGTTAGTGCTGTTCCGTGACGTTTACCTTCAGTTTGCAAGTCCGTCAACCTCGTTACTCATCATTATTCCTACTATTCCAATACTATAAGACCTCCGGCGATCCCCGATCGCCTTACCGGCCTTATTGGACTATCGGAAACCCCTAATGATGTGAGTTGATATAGATTTCCTTCTGAATAGACTAACGGCCAGTTCTGTGAACTGTTTCATGAGTGTTTTCCTTTCAGTGCTCTCATCGTGACCACTAGGAAGCGTGTGCTATTGGGGACTTTGTCTATGAGAAGCGATAAGCTTGTCACCGGTAGGAGAAGGGTTTTTGTTGCCCAAGGCTTTTTTGCCCCCTTCAACTATTGAGTGATCAGTGATGTCCTTCTCGTCCGTCTCCAAGCCAGCCCGACTCCAAGGAAACCTCTTATTGACGATATATTCTCTTTATTAAATATATACCGCTCAATAAATGGGTCACTGATACTACTGTTGTTATTATTGTTTCCACACCGCTTATCTGCCCGCTCGTCGTCCCACTCCTCCCTACAGACATAACTAGTTCCCCTGTTACCGATGCACTTTCCCCTATTTTACCAGACAGCACGCACAAGGAGGTAGCTAGTTTCTCTGGAGCCGTCACGGGGAATCCAACACTCCCCAAGGTGACCCCTCTACATATTTGATGTGTCATTTGTACTTTTTTTTGTATTTTTTAATATATATTTTTTTTGGATAGAAAAGAAAACTTTATTAAATTTTTTGGATCTTTTTTTAGACAAAAACTTACATCCAAATGTATACATTTTGCGCCAAAGGTGTCATTTGACTTGCGCGAAATTGCTATGGAAACAATTCGAATTTCTTTTTGATGCTTTCTTTTATTTACGAAACTTTTCTCTCCTATACATTGAAAGGCAACTCTCATATTTGCTTTTTCCGTTTACGATCGGTAAACTTACACACTTCCTCTCCATGCTTAAAAATTTTGATAACAGAATTTGAAAATTTATTGAGGCCAGAACTATTGGGATGCTTGTCGTTGCTTATCATGCTTATCGTTTTAGATTTCCAGAAAATTAAAAAATCCAACAAGTTTTAAGTTTGTTGAAATTTTAGATCTCACCATGCATCTCAATTCTCCATACACCTGTATGATTATTCTGACCTCTATATTCGCTCTTTTCTACCTTTTCTTCTCATACCAACCCTCGATGCAGTATTCTGTGAATTTCGAGGAAACGTAAGCCATCGTAATTTGATTTTTTCTATTTTTTTACTCTATTGCAGCATTCTAGATGATCAAATCAATTCGTCATTTCCCATCACATTCTATCATAATGCTTATGTGGATTACAGGTATTTTTAACATGTTTCTTTTCAAAAAAAAAAAAAGAAGTCCTTCTAGATTCACTCCTCCACGTCTTCGAATCTTCTCCTTGAATCAATGCATCAAACCCAACAAAAACTTTTTGTTGGTTGACATTTTCTACGAAGGAGTTTCGGAGCCAACCCAGATGAAAGTCTTTGGAGAACCATTGGAAGGAGCTTGCCCATCAACATATGGTCCGGCAAAGCCTTGTTTCTATGTGGCGCATACTTTTTTCACAGATCTTATCATGACTGGAGGGATGACAAAAGTGAGTATTTTATTCAGGAAAGTAGGCGTAGAGCCTGAAATGAGCAATCCTCTTGACTCCTGGTTATTTTCTCATTAACAAACTGGTTCTCAAAATCAATACACTTCCTGACAAAACGCAGTAAGCATTCTAGAATTTTGTCAGTAAATAATTTTTAGATATCTTTCAGAGGCACCGATATAAATCCTTCTATCATAGCTATTGAAGCGTTTTGTCTTTATCAGTAGAAGATAGTCAACTTTGGAGTCCTGAAAATGTAGTTCAGAACTTTTCGATTTGTCTGAAAATTCCAGACTATACAAAAAATAATCAGAGCTTCAATTTTGTAGTTGACAACTTTTTTGCAAAACTTCATCTTAATAAGATATGCTGTTTGTAATGAAAAAGTGCCAAAAGTTAGCACTAAAATGAGAATTGTGCTCCCATACCTTATTTCATGAGAAGCCCGCCCGAACCGTCAACTTTGAGCTCAATTATCTCGGTTCCTGTGAAAGATATCAACAATTTGCCAACTAAGAAAATGTTAATCATATTGTCACCAATATTTTTTCAGTTGACCAAAATTTGAAATCTTTTGAAGAAGTTGAGATAATTGAGCTCAAATCGCACGTATAGTGTGGGTATCTGTTTGAGCATTTACGGTCTTACATTTGTGCAAATATCACTGAAGCATTGAATATTTGAATGTTTTGCTATATATTTTTGTATTCAGGTTCTCCTCCACATGGGTAGCCGAAAAGTGACCCTATCCGTAAAAGAAATCAATAAAAGATTCGAAAAAGGAATCACATTGTGCCTTCAACCAGTTTATTACTATTCGCAATGGCAGAATATCGTTTTGTATATTGAAGCATGGAAAGCTCAAGGAGCTACTCGTTTTATTGTTTTCTATCATTCGTCTACAAAAGACACTAAAAGAGTATTAGATTACTATCGAGGCTTGGTGAGATTCAACGAATTTCGTAAACATCGAAAATGTTTTTGAGGGAATAATCGAACTACGATCTTGGCCGAGTTTCGGAAGTTTACCATCGGAAATCGAAGCCAAGAATCCAAAAATTGACGATAGTGTCTTCATATTTTCATATTTCCTAGCTATGAATATCTGTATTTTGGATATCAAAACCACTATCGGAACAATCGCTGATTTCGACGAAGTCATGGTACCAAGAAACGGTACCATGCTGGATTATGCCACTAGAGAGATGACGGGTACCAATGTTGGAGCGCTTTCTTTTGGGAATAACTACGTGGCAATGGACCCCAGCATCTATTCTTCTGACTTTTCCGGAGTCTCAAAACCCATTTTCATCAGCAAAGGAGGACCATCCAAGTACATTTTCAACGCATCTGTTATCGATTTAGCTCAAGTTCATTGGGCGAAAAGTTTTACGGATTCATCAAAAAAGAGTAAAGGGGTAATAACTTATTTTGGATTTAGGGATTCACATTAATTAGGTTTCTAGGGGGACGGAGGATTATTGCACTTGAGATACGGTTTCGATCCGTCCAAAGAGAAAACTGTGGAAAAACAATTTCGATTCTTTCCGAACAATCAAAAGGAACATATTCGTAATATGCAGGATACAGTAAGCCAAATTCCTTAATTCAGTGTCTATGAAAAAAATTTAGGCCAACAAAATATTCAATGGATCCGTGCCTACTTTTAATTCAAATTTCATTGATATTCTCAACGATTGCGTTAAGCAAATCAAGTGAGTTACCTTAATACCGTAGCTAATTTATCTCTGTTCCTATGAGATATATAAAAAATTTGTCAACTGATAAAATACAGCTAATATTATGATAAACAATTCATCAGTTGACACTTTTTCTGATATCTCACATAGGAACCGAGGTAATTTAGTTCAAAGTGTACGGTATCTCTAGACTTTTCTCAAAATGTGTTATTTCAGCAAACGAGGAAAGACGTGTAGGAGTACTGGTGGCATGTGTAAAAAGGAAATGGATAAGGTTAATGAATGGGTCTATGATAAGACGGAAGGCATCTTTTTATCCGGGGCATAATGATCTTGTTTGTTAGGATTCAACATTTTCTCTCAATATCTGTTGTGAATAAAACTATATTTCTAGTTATTTTAACTTTGGCATTTGCAGCACTTTTCTGGTTTAAAGCTTCCATTTCGGTCGGTGGTCGGTAGGCGGTCTCCGATCGATTCTCTAGCTCGGTCGGCTGGGCCAGCGATCGGTCGGTTATCTGAATTCCGCCACTGGATGGAAGCCATAGAATCTGTGGTTACATCTACCTATATAAAGTATCATCGAGAAAAACGAAATCCTTCAGGAATCTCAGAATCTATAATCTTAGTGTCTTGGATTTTCAGAATCTCAGAATCTCAGAATCTCAGAATCTCAGAATCTCAGAATCTCAGAATCTCAGAATCTCAGAATCTCAGAATCTCAGAATCTCAGAATCTCAGAATCTCAGAATCTCAGAATCTCAGAATCTCAAAATTTAGGAATATCGGAATGGCAGAATCTCAGAATTTCAGAATCTCGGAATCTAAGAATCTCGGAATCTCGGAATCTCAGAATCTCAAAAAAACTCGGAATCTCATTATCTGTAAATCCACTAAACACATTTATGTCTACAGTACCACGCAGTACCTGTTGATACCTTTGCAGATGACCCCGACCACTTTTTAACGACTATCTCATTAAACATACCCAACCTAGGTATTTGCTCTGTCCCTTTTCAACCTTGCCGTTCATCAACCATTCAGTTAGATCATAAACGCCAGTAACGATGTCCACTCCTATCTTATCAATGCTCTTTTTTCTGTATTACATGACCTCTCGTTTTCTCTGTGTCTCTTTGTGTCCTTTCCTTTGTTCTAGGAAGAGAACTGTAAACGTAGTCATTTGTGCTCTTTTCTGTTACTATTCAAATATTCATGGATCATCAACACGCCGAACCCCTGCCATCGCTGTCCACAGTGTTGGCTGAAAGTTCAACTAGGAATCAAAAGGAGGATTTGTACTTGTACGACCAGTTTTCGAACCAGAGGTAAATTGAAGAGAACTGATAATGAATTGATTAGCTATTAATTTTTTTGTGCCAGTGTCAAATGATAAGAACTTTTGAATTTAAAAAATTATTGGATTTCTTGAAGTATTTTCAATCAATAAACTTGATAACTAAAATTCTAGAAAATCAATGTTCCTAAAAATAAAAACATTACAGCACCTTCTTCAATTACCCATATCCTGGCCAACCAGTCTACTACAACCCATGGCAGTATTCAACATTGCAACCCTACGATGTCTATCAATACCCAATGTTGACCTCATACGATCAAACAATCCCTGTCCAACCACCAATCATAGATATCAGCACCCACTCGAATGTCTACGAGAAACCTGCTAGTGTGGAGACTGCGAAGACGTCGAGTCCGGAAAGTTTCATGGAGCATAAGACAACGATGAGAAGGCCAGCGGTTAAAAGAACATCCAGTGTGAGTACCGGAGTCCAGAATTTGAGAAAAAATCTTTCATTCCGAGTTCTCAGCAAGCATGTAATTTTATGAAAATTCTCTCTAGAATTAAGGAACGATAGAGCGCACTTGCATTACACACCGTAAAGCCTTTGATAGAAGTGTCTGTTACGTTTGAGCTCAATTATCTCGGCTCCTATGCAAGATTTCAAAAAGTGGTCAACTGATAAAAAGTTTGCGATATTCTAATGAACAATTTACCAGTTGACGATTTTCGATATATTTCAAAAGAACCGAGATAAAATCCCGTTCACTGGGACATCCGAAAATGGCGCCAATTTCAAAAAATATGGATGCCCCTCGGCAGTGCTTGTAGCTCAGTCGGTAGCAGCTCCACGCCTTCAACACAAGTTCAACTCATCAAGAGGCTTAACTGAACAAAATTTTGAGATAGTTATTTTTTCATGTTCCCCACCTTTACGTCTTTATTTAGACACTCTTAGTTGACCATTTTCAACTAAAAGGTTCCAACATCTGATATTCCAAAAGTTTAATAATTCTAGACGACAAGTGCCCTTTAAAATTTACGAACTAAAAGTGCCTCTTGCTCATTTCCAATGTTCTCAATATTTTCAGATTTCCCGAAATTGCGCGAATTGCTCAACAACCGAAACGAGTCTGTGGCGAAAGAATGAGGAGGGAGATCTGGAGTGCAAGTGAGTCTTTTTGGATTCTAAATTGGGGTCAGAGTACACAATGCAAAAGCAGAAAAAACAGAAAATGGGTCCCACAGGGAGTGATCATTGAAGTGCGAATGTGAGACCAACACAAATGACTCTACTGAGTTACATGGTTTAGTGCTCGTTCCAATGTGTGGGTAGTTAAGTGGGAAGATGTTTCTTTTTGGAGTCATTTCCAAGTGAACATAGTTTAAGTCGTTTCGGGATGTTGAAGACATAAGTAGAGTTTCAAATTCAGAATTTAAAAAATTTGGAAAAATTTCAGAAAAGAAATGAAAATTCACCAAATTAGTTAATTCGAAAAATCACAAAATTCGAAACAATTTTCAAAATTCGGAAATTTTAAAATTCTAAAATTCTAAACTGATTGAAGTGCGAATGTGAGACCAACACTAAATGGCTTGATAAACATTTTTAATCGAAAATTGAAAAATGCCAAATTTTTGAGAGGTGCTCCAGAACGTTCCAGAAGGTTACTGTATTTTGAAATTGACAGCAACCTAAAAAACTATGATTTCTTTATTATTATTCTGGTATAAAAGTTCACAACGATAACTGTTCACAACGATAACTACCGTAACCTGAAAATATTTTTATTTTCAGGATCGGTTTTTTTTCAGTTATCGTGCGTTTTCAGTTTTTTCAGTCGGTCACGACTACTGCTCCAAACTTTCGTTCCAGAATAGTTTAATCAAAAAGTTAAATTATTTCAGTGCCTGTAACTTGTACTTCCGTCTGAACAAAGTCAAAAGACCCCTGGAACTCTGCAACACAGCGCCGAAAACACGAAAACGTCGTAGTCGAAAAGCAAAGAAGAATCTCGAAGAAGAAGATTAACTTTTACGAACTCTCTTTTTTTGTAATACTTCTTTTTTTCTTACTTTTTGTAGCTTCTTCTTTTTCCCGTTCCTTTCAAGTACAATCAATCATTTTGCTCTGTTTTTCTTTGTCTGTCTCTATCTTTTTGGATTATCTGCCCATTTTCAACACCGTCCCTTTTTACATACGCTACGATGATCCTGCCATCCATAAGATTTACGACCACTGATAAATTGATGATTTTCCACATGTGGATCCTGGACATAGTAAGTTGGGACAATGTTGAGAAAGACTTGTCTGATCATTCTTACATCGATTGAAAGCAATTTGAATTGTTTCTAGACCGCTAAGACACATTTCTCTTAATTTGCCACTCCACTATTTTCGCAAATTTGGAAAATCTTATGGATGGCAGGATCATCGTAGCGTATGTACTCCATCAAGGTTCTGAATGAGCTCTCAGTACCTAAATTCACTTCTCAACATCTTGTTCTGTATGTTCCATGCCCGTTTCCTTATTGAAATTTTGAAATTTTGGGTCATTTTTACCAAATTACCCGAAAAATGATGATTTGAAAAGTCGACAAAAGATGAAAATTTTTTCAAATACTTATGAGAACTTGCGAAAAAAGCTGGAAACAAAAAGTTATTTTCGGTTTTGAAGCGAAAATTCGACAAAAATTTCCAAAATTTCGAAAATTTCTGGGGGGTCCTAAACTTATTGGACAGCTGAAAAAGTGTTTTTTGGTGGTACTCGGGCACTAAAAATGGTACGATACCCAAAATTTGGTTCCAGGGGTTATTTTACATTTGGAATCGAACTGCATTTACAGATTTTCAATAACTATTCTAGTTTTGGCCAAAGGGCCAAAATATAGGGGGTCCTAAACTTATTGGACGCACTGTACTTTTGTTAACTGTTAATTTTCATTAAAGGGGGACTCCGACCAAAAATTTTTATTCCATTAAAATGTTCAAAAAGTTGTCTATTTTCCCAATATTATAGCGAAAAAATTCGAAAAAAATCCGAAATTCCCGAAAAATGCCGTTAAAAGCGAACAATTTTCAAAAAAAAGTTGTTAGGAGGGACGAGGATTTGAATTCCCGCTCAGTGAGAAACCTAGGCCACGGAGCCTGATAGCCATTTTTTCAAGTGACCGACAGTGGTTTTTCACGTGTTTACCTGCCGGACATGAAAACCGAAAAAATCCGGAAAAATTTCCATGTCAGAAAGGCGCTATGATGCCGTGGCCTAGGTTTCTCACTGCGCGGAAATTCAAATCCTATTTTTTTTTCAACGCCGTTTTTCGAGGATTCAGGATTTTCTTTAATTTTTTCGCAATAATATCAGGAAAATACATATTTTTTGAAACATTTTAAGGCAATAAAAAATAGAATTGCCCCCTCTAATTGGAGTGCCCCTATAATTGAAGTGCCCCCCAAGAGACCTCACGAAAAATAGAAGGTCCGGCCCTTATAATACAGGTTTTACGGTAAAATCACGCTGAGAAACTAGAAAAAACTGGATTTTTAATTTTCAGATTCTAAGTATTGCAGATTTGCCAATTAGAGAGCGAGTAATACAACAAGCAATACAATGATCAACATCATCATTGTTATCGGATTCCCACTGGTTTCTCTTGCATTTTTCGTGTCGAATTGCACTTCGAAAAAGCCAAAATCCACGTTACCAACAAATCGATCAAAGGCGTCGACTGCTGAGCAGAAGA